TAAGAAGAGAGGAGGCAGGCTTCGGACAGGCCACAGAGAGGCCGCAAGAGGCCTGCCGGCTGCCGAGAAGCTTCGGACAGGCCACAGAGAGGCCGCAAGAGGCCGAAAAGCTTTTGAAGGCGGTCCAAAATGCCTAAACGTTGCTTTGGGAAGCCGATAAGAAGAGAGGAGGCAGGCTTCGGACAGGCCACAGAGAGGCCGCAACAGGCCGGCCAGCTGGTGAGGCCTCGGACAGGCCTTTGGAAGTGCTTGGAAGGGTTCTGCTAGGCTTGGCCAACTGCTGCATCCTGCGCCTTTGGAAGTGCTTGAAGGGTTCTGCTAGGCTTGGCCAACTGCTTCACCCTGCGGTGTCCCAGGCGCCTCCCCGCCTAGGCTTTGGCTATAGGCCGGGGTCGGCGGATATCTAATGTGGTTGTTTGTTAAAGGTTTGGATACGACGCTACTAGTAGCTCCTGGCATTACTACTAGGAACAAGAAGCTACTAGTAACAAAGAGCATCGCTACGAACGTAACAAGAAGCTACTACTGTCACTTCTCTCGGAGTCGGGCCTGTCGCTTGTTTTAACGAGCGCTTCGCTTCGTTTTCGTCTTTCGAACACCCACCGAACCATCGAACGCGAAAACGCCGAAAACACCGTTGCGTCCGCCTCCGGTGGCCTCCTTCTCAGGCGGCGGGAGGCTTGATTTGCCTCGGTGTCTCGGTCTCCTTCATGGCCATCTTCGACACGGTCTCGGATGCCATGCTCTTCGCCTTCATGACCGATGAAGATTGGAGGACCGGGGACAGAGTCGGTCGTGGGGACACGGGAAGACCGCAGGGTCGGTCGTGGGATGTCGTGGGACACGGGGTGGTCCACGTGTCCCGGAGAGGAGGACGTTTGGGGATGTTTTGGGGCGTTGGAGGATGCAGACCAAAACTGCGAAGGGACCGTCGAGATTTCGGATGATTTTGACAGAACCTCACAAACTGTGGCCAGCTGTTTTGACCTGTGTCCTGAGCTGAGATGACCATGACCAGGAGAGAGCATCGGCTACCACCAAACCCCCACATCCCTGAGACACTTGGCATTGAAGAAGGGCCTCAAGTAGGTCCCAGGCAGCTTCGCTGCTGACCAGGTTCCAAAGGTGGCCTGGCGCGGATTGCGAAACGGCGATTCTTCGAGGACCTATTTGACAGTTCCAATGCCATGTTAGTGCCAAAACGCAGGCCCGCACATGCTCGTTGTCTTCATGAGTCCCTTCATACATCCAAGCACATGTTCCTTTCAAGGCACGTAGTTAGTCGACCTAGTCTTCCCCCACCTGAGTCGCTGAGGAACTTGCAGTCGCTTCTCGACACAGCTAGCTGAGCTCTGGTGAGCTCAATCATCTCGAGAGAAACCCGTGGTCATGGTCACTGATTGTTTTACAAAAGCCGCAACTGGCAACCAGGAAACAACAGCGCTGTGGTTGTGCTCCAAGCGACCTGTACCGCGGTTGGTTCAAAAAGGCACGGCTGTATGTATGGTGTTCAAAGTAACTCTGCAGCAAACTGCCAGCAAAAAGCTGTGCAGCCTCCACTTTTCACGTGCCAAAAAAGGACACAGTCTCACATTTTGTGTCCTGGACAAGTTGATGCTGGTGTTGATGTTTATTTCTGAGCATAGCTCAGCTTCATAATATATATATATATTTACATATATAGGGCCACCAGTCCTGGCAGTCACCTCAACCAGTTCCAGCCAGAGGCCTTGTTTGGCCTTAGTTCCAGCCTCCACAAATCCAATTGGAGAAGGCCACCCTGTTGAAAGCACAAAAGAGAAAAGCTAATTGAAACATGTTTAAACGCATTCCTTGTTTGGAGCCTTTCTTCCTTTCTTCTTCCTTCTTCCTCAAAAAGTGAAATGCTGAACTTAGTGGTCATCCACAGTCATGGCTTAGGCATCCAAAACCAACTTTGAAAGAAACGAAGGAGGTGCAAACCGAGGTGTCCAGTCATGTTCGACGAAAAGACCTCCATGTGCAGATACAACGCTAGAACCTCTGCTGAGATGGACACATTTGTTCCAGTCAGCTGAGAGCCGCACCGTTTGGGAAATCCAACAACATTCCAGCTCCAAACACAAAGCACTCCCTATGTTGCAGCCTGATGGAGTTCGACAAGGAGCAAGAAGTACACATAGTACACATGTCAACTTCTTGGTACATCCTCTGCTTGTTCTCTGCTTTTTGTTGGCCTTGGTCTTGTGCAGCATCGCCACGGTAAAGCTAAGAGGAAGGAGCAACAACAATATAAACATGCCAGCTTCTTTGTTGTACTTCTTCTTTGTTGTACTTCTTCTTGATGGTCTTGGTCTTCTACAGAGCCAACAAAAAAAAATAGTTATGCAGCCTATATGTCTCTATATGTCTGGGGCGGGGGCTTGGCGACTTGTAGGAACGACAAACATCACCCCGGCCTGCATCACTGGCCATTTTCTGAACACGATGAGGTCGTAGCAGTCATAGCAACCATCGCGCCTACGGTCACCAGCCAGCTTTTACTTAATGATTCTGTTGCTCGGGCCACTCAGGAAAGAAACAGAGGGACGACAGCCGCTTGCTTCGGAACCCTCCCAACAGCGTCCAACCGCACCTTTCCTGAAAAGGGACATCTAACAGCACCAGCAGCCCGGCGCAGGCCATCGGAACTCACCCAGGTTCAAAACTACGCCAAAGTGAGAAGGCTCCGACCGGGGGTATCCATATTTTTCATGAATCGGGGAGCCGTTCGGAGCAGATAGACAGATCTCTGGTGCTTCTAAAACTGCTCCAACTGGGATGGGTTTTGCGGATGCAACTCATATGCCCCAAGAGACTGCATGTGGCGGACATTCTGTTTGAGAGAAAGTCTACTCTCTCCTTCTCTCCCCTTTTTGTCTTTAGCCCGTGAAAGAGTGATCAAGGGTGATCAGGGCTTTGAAAACGATATCAGAATCAGTGCAAAACAGTGCATTTTGATGAGAAACAAGAGGACAGGGGAGAGGGGGGAGGGAGACAAGGAGAGAGAAGCGCTGTATTTTGTTGGACTTTGTGTGGTGAAGTTTGCAATCTTTGTCCTGAAACTCAGATTGGCTCCTTTGCGGTTCTGGGAATGTACCCCAAAGCATTTACGCAACGGCTGCAGAGTTCCTGAGGCTCAAGTATTGAGAATAGGACGATTCTGAGGCACCATCAATGCCACGGCTGCGCAGCTCTTTTGCAAGGGCTGTGGCTTTGCTTCTATGTTGGCAGATTGGACGGCTGGCTCCTAGCTTTGTACCTGAAGTGACACAAGACAACACCCTTGCGCTTGGACGAAGAAGCGCACTAGTGGGAGCCTTGTCGCTGACTCAGCCTGGCATGGCATGGGCAAAGAGAGGAGCCTCAGAAGAGGGCGAAATGGCCACGAAGCAAGCCATGCCAACAGAAATAGAAACTGAGGAGCCCATCAATGAGGAGTGGAAACCTGTGGACATTGGTGAATCGACTCTGGTGGATCCTGATGATCCCAAGTACAAGAACATGAGGCTGATGAATGAGATAGAGAAGCAAAAACAAAGAAATGAAGAGTACAACGCCATGAGTCCAGAGGAGATCAGTCTTCTTTTCGCTGCTTTGTGTTCTTTTCGATGCACTGGAGCGGTCGTTGGTATTGGTTCAGCAGTTGAACTCTGTAGGAACCACAAACGAAGGGCGGGTGTGGTCAAACCACCACAGTCTGTGGTCAAACCACCACCACCGATAGATGCAGACTCTATTAGGCTTGTGAAGAATTGCGCTGCTCATTCCTGCTGTGTTGATGATGGTCCTTTGCTTGCCAGGAGAAACAGCAGAAGATGTGTGAGTTGCTGGGTCGCGGTTGTCAGAACATTTGAAGCATGCAAAACCAACCCAGGATGCAGCACCACTCGCTAGAACGGTAGAGGCACAACATTGCTTCTATCCCCGAGCACCAAATGCTGCAAATAGAACACAGACCAAACGATTAGCAGGCAGGCTTGCACATGTGATGCAAGCCTTATTGCGTTTCCAACCGACCTAATCCTCGTTTCTGCGTCGGAAAAGTCGAAAAAGGCGTGCTCACCAGTTGCACAAGCAGGTTAGCCGCGCAGGGGTCAGCTTGCATCCGGACTTTGTTGTTATTTAGAACTTCTTGGAACCGCAGCATGGCTCGGAGAGACGTTTAAAACGACACACGACACCCAAGACGAGTTGGCGTGTTGCTGGTGCACTGAAATCGGTGCGATTGGATCGAATGAGTGCCTCTTCGGCCAAAGCGAATGCGAGAGACCTCAAAGAAGAACAAAAGCTCTTTGAGGATTGGAAAGGTGATGTGTCGAATGTTCCCGAAAGCAACTCCGATGACGACGATAGTGGCTCAGAGAACCAGGGCCGGAAGCTCGTGGGGAAGGCTGTGCAGAAATTCTTTTGGGCCGAGATGAAGCACCGCCTGGTGAAGAAGACTCGGCACTTGGCGTTAGCCACCCGAACATTAGTACAGGCTCATGGGACGACAACCAGTCCAAAGGCCAACTCCTTGGGTACCAAGTTCGACAAGCGAATTGCTAACAAAATACAGCGATATGAAAGCAAGTTGAGTCAACAAACCAAGAACACGGCCTTATTGAAAGAGGTGGCAAAGAGACAACTCTTGCAAACTTCTGCACCCCTTCGAGCGCAGCTCATGGGAAATTTGAAGAAAGTCATGAAGGAAAGGATGTCTGCAGATCCACATATGTGGGACTGTGTCAAGTCCTTGCAAGCCTCTGCGATAGATACTTTGTGGGAAGATTTGGAGAAGGAGATTGAGCTGAATGTTGAGCTGGCCTGGTTACACTCACAAGAGGCCCAGACTGAGCCAGAGAGGGTCAGTACCTGGTCGTGTTATGCCTTTGTGCGGAAAAAGATTTTGCATCACTACCTGCCATATGACCGTTCCATTTTCGGCAAGCTTCGAGATCCAATTTATTTGGCTCTCACTATGACCATGCTCATTCCAAATGCTGGCTTCCGGGTGAGTGTCCTTTCCATGATCCTGGCCTTCATTTTACACCCAGGACCACCGGATGAGTTCCAACTCATCAACTTCATTTTGCTCTGCAAGGGCACTCAGTTCCTGACCGGAGGCTTAGTGAGTATGGGCCAAGGCGCTGCCATTTACTTCGGTTGCTTCAACTGGCATGAGACCGAGTTGAGCGCTTGTGTCGCAGAACGAGGTCCTGGGAGGGTGTCCTCCTTGGCGGGTGAGCTGGCGGACTACCTGGGGAGCATCATGCTTGTTTGGGTGGCTTTCTTTTGCTTGACCTTCGCACAGGAACGCCGCCAGCGTGAGAATGAGCTCAAAAGAGAAGCCTACGACCGGCAGCAGCAAGAAAAGGATGGAAATCCCGATTTGAATGCGAAGGCATCGACCAGACTGAAGATCGAAGTGCGAGGTGGCCGGATTAGCAGTTTGTTGAAATATGATGTGGCCTGCTTCATCATCTCCTTGTTCGTCCTTCTGCTTTTGAATTCCAAAACTTTGATGGGGACCAGAGGAGCTTACGAGGTCACTGCCTACCGGCATTTTCAAGAAGATATCTTCTGGTGCAAGGTGTTGTATTCCTTGTTCTCATTTCCATTTCTAATCTTCACAATCCAACCATTGCAGCAAGTGCTAACTCACGCTGCGCCTACAGGTTTCAATGAAAATGGTGCATGCGTGCCTTTCTGCCTGGCAGAACCGGCTGAGCCGGGAGAGCCCTGAGAGCAGTTGCGACCAAGCAGTTGCGGCAAAAAGCAGTGGAACTCGTCTGCCTGTGCCGCTTGTGCGCATGTGTTGAGAACGCGAAGGGTCCGAAGGCCAGTGATGTCTGAGAATAAAGGGCCTTTCAAATTTGAATTTGTTGAATCATCTTGAGGGACAAAGCGGAGTCTTGGAGAAGCAGCTGCATCACTGTTTGGCATCCAGTTTTCAAGCTTTTGCCAAAGACTGGCAAAAACACTAAAAAACCGGTCAGAGTGCACATCGCACTGCTCGTTTTTTGTATTTAAAGTGAGATCGGGCTTGGCAGTTGAATAAGATCATTTAGACTTCTTCAACGCCGCACTGGCTTTGTTGGTAGATGCCCTCTTGCGATGGCGCGGTGGCAGCCCCGTAAGACCTCCTCTGCTAAAGCCACACGCAAAGGCTTCAGCAAATCTCCCAAGAAAGAAGGTGACTTGAATCTCACGCCAGCTTACTTGCCCCTAGGAGGCCTGCAAAATGATAGACCAACAAAGGGATCTGGAGTTGCTATTTATAAACACAGGGGGGTTGTGTTATTTGTCTTCAGAATTTACATCCTTGTGACCTTGTGCACGATTTATTGCTCAGGCACTCGCAATGCTACCAACTCAAAGAATGGCACTGGCAAGCCAGGCAAGCGAGGCAAGTACCTTGAGCAAGCCAAGCAAGGAAAGCATGGCAAGCAAGGCAAGCACCGTGAGCAAGGCAAGCAACGCGAGCAACGCGAGCTGGAACCTACGACCTTTGCACGTGTTGTTTTTGTGATCGTGCTCCTAGAAATGACCCCTTGCTTCAACCCGTTGTTTGTTCTTGGGCACCCTGAGCTTGTGCTTGAGGCTTTGCTTCCTGGCAAGGCTACTTAGGGACAATCATGTTGAAGCCGTGACATTCTTTTGGGTTGGGCAGCAAGAGTTTCTGCCCCACCTCAAAGAAGTATACAAACTTAACCTCTAGGACTACAGCCATACTTTGCCAGCTGGCATGGGATAATGGCTTCTAAATCTATCAAGCACCTGACTCTTTGTGCAATCCTTTTGGATATCACAGTATCTCGTGGCTTAGAGGCTCCCAACAATCTCATGTCCCTCAGGTGGCGAACACCGTCGCCCACTGGTGGAGATGGTGGATTACATCCGCTCCTGTTGCAAGGTGGATGGCCTTGGTCCAAGTGAGGAGGCCTTGTTGTCCACGCGCGCCTTGGAAGAGATCAGCTCCTCAGTGGATCGCTTGAGGGCGATCGCGAAGGATCAACGAGGTTCCAAGCCCTTAGAGAAGCTCATCAAGAAAGCCACGACAGAGTCCTTTGCGTTGATTTGTCCAATGCTTTTGGAGGACTTGGAAGACCTGGCCACCAACCAATATGCTTCGCACGTCTTAGAGACGGCCCTGAGATCCTGGGCGGAACGCTTGGGACAGGAGACAAAGCCTCCTGTTGAGCCAGTAGTGTCAGCCTGCACGAAGCTCAATGAAGGCCTTTGGCCTTCCTTGGTGAAGAATGCAAGCTCTGCACATGTCCTTCGGCAATTGCTCATGGCACTTGGTGGCTATGCACATGAGGAAGGCAAAGAAAAGTTGGCCGCGCGAGCTGGCTTGTTGCCACAAACCAAACATGAAGTGGCACCCGAGATCGCCGAATGTCGACGTCAATCAGCTGCAAGTCTCATCAAGCTCATCAGACAAGATTACCATCTATGTCTCAACTCTCATGCCAGCCCAGTGATTCAGCTCCTCTTACGCCTCTTGCGCGATTGCAATGATCGTGCTCTCCTCTCTGAGGCCTGTGCGGCTGTGGTGGGAGCAACGAAGGGACTCCCGTCTATGGAACGCTGCGAAGCGCTCACCGCATCCGCAGCAGGCTCGCGAGTCTTGGAAGCTGTGCTGGAAGCAGCAGGGGCAGAGCTGTTTGCAGAGCTCTTCTCGCGCTACTTTCGAACCCGTTTGTCTGATCTGGCCACTGGATCGAATGAGTTTGGCCCGTTTCTCTCGCAGAAAGTCGCAGATGCCTTGCGAGAAGGCCCACAACTCCAATTAGCTTTGAGTGAACTGGATTTCGTTGCTTGCCTGGGTACTGGATCGCAATCAGCACAGCACATGGTGGTGCTGAAGTTCCTGGAAGCCTCCTTGCGTCTGCGATCGGGGCTCAAACAAGCTGCCGGAGGTGTCTTCCGCGCCTTGGGCCTCCAAGCCTCCTCGGAGTATCATCGCACCTGGTCGTCTATCCTATCTTTGACTTCTCTAGAGGTCCCGGACCTCCTGGAGGCTCCGACAAGTGCAGCACCAAAAACCGAGAAGTCCAATCCCAAGAAGTCCAAGAAGGCCAAGAAGTCGCCCCAGGCGCCCAAGCCAGAGCGGTCCGAGGAGCCGAACCGCTTGAGGCGGCTGCCAGCGGGTGGCGCGATGCTCCTGGCGGTGTTGTTGCGCTTCCCGGCCGAGACGGTGGCTCCGGTGACTTCGGGGCTTTCGAAGATGCTCAGTTCAGATCTTCTGGTGGCCTTAGCAAAGGAGTCTCGAACGGCCAGAGTCTTGGAAGCTGCTTTGGCACCTTCATCGGCTTTAGGTCCTCGGCTGCGTTTGAAACTGGCGGCAGCCTTTAAGGGTGCGATGGCCACTCTGGGTCCTCACCACATTGGAGGCTGGGTTTGCGCGGCGCTTTGGCGGACGAGCTTAGCAGATCCCAAGCTCCGTGAGAGCTTTGCCAAGGAACTCTTGGGTGTCGAAGATCAGCTTAGAGCTGAGAACTTCGCTGTGTGGAAGGTCTGCGGCCTACACCAGGTGAAAGTGCGTTCGGAAGAATGGATGAAACAGCAAAAGAAGGCCGGAAAGGTTCAAGCACTCTTTGCTGATATTCTGGCTGGTGAAGGTGAAGAATCCGCGAAAGCTGCTAAACTACGAAAAGCACGGGCAGATGAAGACGAGGCTTTGGCCAAAGCAGCGGCTATGGAAGATCCTACCCTGTGTACTCAAACACCTGCTTTAAAACAGGCGAAGACGACCTTAATTTGAGAAGTGGCCGTTTCGAAAAAAGTGGTCGTTCCACATGGCTCAGAAACGCTCAGAAACATCACCAACATGAGCACTCCACTTAAGATCCAAACATGAATGCCCAAACACCTGCAACCACACGCTCTTTTTCTAGATGTCCAGCAACGATCTTCGTTCCATGTGTCTTTGCCGACACGCGTCGGCTAAGACGGCCTTCCCACCAGATCTTCTGCCATGAATGTACTTTCCGCGATGGGGTTGATGACGCAACCGGAGGAAGCTTTGAACTGCTGCAAGGCTGCAAGGCCCCAAAAACAGTGTGGGCAAAAAGGTGAAGGACCGGCTTTAGAGCACACAAGCAATATCCACCATCAAAGGCTTTCTTGGCGACCGCAGTGTAGCAAGAGAGGAAAGCATGCCCAGCAGAGATCTGCCAAGCTTCACTTTCAGTCAGAAAGAAAGATGCTAAAATGATGGATTGCTCCACATGCTTCCAGGCTAAGAATCGAATCCTGAGAAACTTCCGTTGCACGTTCCATACACATGTTCAACAAACTTGGATACTGTGGCTGTGTCCATGTTCTTGGACCAATGACCCTTTGGGAAAGTACGAGAACTATAGTAGCCAAGGTTATCCAGAGGAAGGTGGGCAAAGTGAAGACTTTGCTTCGTAGTCTGCAAAAACCCTTTCAATGCCTCATTGACGTCGTCGAATGCATTCTGAAGTTTTGCTCTGCTTGTAAAGCGCCTTGGCTATATATATATATACAGTTGCAGATGCTGTGAAGTCCTTCCCCAGCCCTGCATGAAACACGTGAAATAGGTCAGGGCGGAAAACACTTGCAAGATCAGAATCATTGACCGGCAAGTGTTCAAGCAGAGGAGACGGTTCATCCCACGGAAGAGCATTGTTTGGACCAGTTGTCTCTGTCCATCTCGCATGGACCCTTGTGTCCTCAAATGGAGGCCCCCCTGTCTTTCCAGCTGAGCACAACCAGCATACACCGGGCAACGCTGCTCGAGATCGGTCAGATTTCCTCACGTTTGAGAACGACCTGTTGTGCATTCCGGCTTCACGTAAGAAAGGGCATCCCCAGTGATGCCCAACACTGCCACTTTCCAGACCTCACCACCATGAGCAAACCCATCAGTAAAGAGAGATCCCAAAAGCTGACCCCACTGGTCCAGAAGGGACTTGAACCTATGGAACTTTTTTTTGTAGAACTCGCACTTCATAGCTGTGAATAGGAACCGGCAAGTCAGAGTATTCCCCCTCAAGTTCACACCCGCATCAAAGCTGATGCCATGGTCGACGGACGAATGGGGGCGCGGAAGGGCCCTTTCCTGGCACTGGCTGCAGCTTGACTGGATTCATGGCAGTGCCCTCCGAAGGCACTGAACATCGTAAGGATCATGGCATCCGTCTTGTATGTGCGTCCACCGTCCCCATGCAAATAGAAGGGTATCAGATGCACCCAGTCTTGCTCCTGACTGAAGATCTCATGTTCAGGATACAAGGCCCTGATAGTTAATCCAAAAATTAGGTAGTACATATTCCGAGTAGGCGACAGGTAGACCAAGCACTCTGTGGAAATACCCCTTTGCTGCCAGAACTTCCAATTGACCCCGAGGAGGAAAACAAGGGTACATGAAACCGTCATCATCCAGCTTGAGTTCCTCAATTGGAAAATCCAGAGTCAACTCACAGCTGCTCAAAGCCTTGAACAGTGGTTCATCAACGCTTTCCACCCGAGCACTGGCTATGCGCTTCAAGGTTGGGCAGCTATCCCTTTTCGCAGCTGCTTTGGCTTCTTCAACGCAATCCACCGCTGGTGCCTTGGGTCGTGGAATTGATGGGCTGAATTCAGTGGTCAAAATCATCAGATCAATTGAAGAGTCAGAGTGTACACATGATCGTGGTCAAGCGATGTGTATTGCATGAACTTCCGTTTTGAATTCAAGCCACGCCTTTGGCGTACACGGTAGCGCTGAGCTGCACATGACCTGCGGAGGGCCCCACTAACCATGGTACCGATTTCAAGTATTGACTGGTGTGGTTCATGTTGCGCCTAGGCAATGTGCACATACAGGCCATTTGTCCTGTGACTTGCGTTCAATGATTCAGCATAGGTTTGGTGACCTGCTCCCCACCCCTTGCACAACTCATTTTCCCCATTCGTTTGGTCAAAGACATGTAAGAGCAGCCGCAGGTTATGAGTACAGATCTCTACCGGGCTGCAACCCCTAGACTGGTGCCCATGACGCTTTTGGCCTTCACGCTTTTTGCCTCTCCCTCCTTCCAGGAAGACTAACCTTCGATCAGCTGTTCACGGTTCATCGGCCAAGGTGTTACAAGGAAGAACTTGGAGGTGATCTTGATGGAGTTCAATGCGAAATAAAAACGACCCGCTGACATTGCAGAGCCAAACATTGAGAGGTTTTTCTTGAGGGTTAAAACCATGAGGAGCTCGCCCAGCCCATGGTCTTGCATTTCTTTTTTGAGCACGGTCAGGGAGGAGGGGCTAGATGACATGATGAGGTGTTCACCTGGCGATTTGGATGGACCAGACCGCTGCCATTTCAAAGCTTTGTTTCAGCTGAGCGCCAACTTGGGCTACAAAGTGCCACCGCGTTCAGCTGGGGCGATTTCGCGACGAGGGTGACGAGGTGCCTTGGGTTACCTCTGGAGCATGTATACAGACTCGTTCTGTTTGGGTAAGTCTTGTCGGTTTCTGCCTTTCGGCATCTCTGCTGTGAGGACGCAGTCGCCTTCTCTGGGTGTGTTTTTCTTTTGCTGTGAGGAGGTATGAGCTTGAATGCGACTGATGACAAGGCCGTTGGTTGGCACACCGTTTGTAGACACCTGAGATTTATCTTCTGACAACGAGTGACTGTCGAGGAGTGACTTGTACCAACCATTTGGTGGAAACCAACGGATCTCAAAACTCTCTACAGAAGCATCAACAAATTTTTAGAGAAGGGACAAGGCACTGGGCTAGCATTTTAATGTATGCTAGAAATTGTTAGAATATAATCCATTGACTCAAGATTGTTGGTGGCACACACGAACTGATACAGTAGATATTTAATATTTGATGATATTTGTATTTGGCAGTTCGCACGCTAGGAGGGTTACTTCCAACGTTGGTCTGAAGGGCATGGGACCCCAGTTGGGCTTTAAGACATCGTCTGTTGTGCCGATGGTCCAGAAGCGAAACAAGGCAGTGGCATCTGCCAGAAAAGACACCAACGTTGGTTGGATGCCGGCTCCAGGCATTGCAACAACGAATCGATGGCGATCTTGTTTCAAGGTCGTTGATCTACAAATCGGTCACTGAACTCTCCGAAACTCTGAACTCTGCCGAACGCAGAGCTCGGCGCAGAGGGCGGCGCTGAGGTTTCTGGAACGTCATTGGCCCCTCGCCCTCATCATGGCCCTGGAGATTCTCGTTGTAGGCCCAAGCCTCGGTTCTCGGACGTAATGGTGAAAGTGACGAAAGAAGTCAGATGTCATCATCTCATACTTGTGATATCTCGTGGTTTTCTTTCCTTATAATACTAATTGATGATTCTGTACTTGTTCAATCAAGTTCAGCCAAGCGGATTTTGACGTTCCGTCCACTTAGGTGGCCTCTACTTGTTCCACCTCGCATGGGTTTTCCCACTCAGTCGGCCGTTACCACTTGGGCACCACGTGGGTCGGGGCCAAACGCCGGAAGACCCGCGCGGATCGCTCGCACTGAGATCCGCGTCCAGAGGCAAAGAGCCAAGGACCCGAGCGGGGTTTCCGAAAGTACCAGGAAGGGAAAGCGTCACAATGGGATCGGTGGTGTGTTTGGAACCGAATTACTATCTTAAACTTATCACTCCTATACTACTATATATATATATTTGTAGGTAGATAGATAGCTAGATAGATAGATTCACCTATCACTATCATATCACTATCTCACTAATATATCTCATGCATCACGCAACCAACATCCACCACCACCGACCGCTTCACCGCAGAACTCTGCGGTGATGCGCCTCACGGAGGCCCGCCCATCCCGCGCCGAGTTCACGACGGGTGAACCGAAACGAAGGAGGCCGAAACGAGGGTGAACCTGCTTGGTGTGAGTGGTCATGAGTGGTCCTAGGTGTGGTAGCCATTTTTTTTTGTTTTAACGAACTACAGTTAATTAATATTTTTTGGTTTAAACTATTTAATCATCTTATTTCCTTTAGCACTGGTTTCTTTCATAGGGTAACATATTCAAAGCCGGCGTTCAGCTTCTCAAGCGCTTTAGGGGGCAAATGGTGGCAGGGTTTGATCATGGTCCTTCCAAAGTTCCTTGGACTGGCCCCCAAAAGGCATCAACTCTGTCCCAACCATCCCTCACCTGCTGCATCCGGTGCCACCTTCAATCGACGAGCTGCGCTCTCTCTCTCTCTCTCTTACCGTGCTGCCCTTTCGACCTCGTTCGACAGCATCTTCGATCGAAGGCCTTGTCTTTGGAGCTCCTCCGACGCTTCCTGCCGAGCGCCAAGGCGCGAACGCACGTGAGGCATGGAGACTTTACAGGTGCTGGTTCTCCTCTGAAGTGCGCCAAAAATGGGGCATGTGGGGCCCGGGGGCCCCAGAGTGGTTTTGGCGAGAAAAGGTGATTTCTGTGGGAAACGGCAGTAGATTCGGGACATGTTCAACGATTTTCTCGGTTCTTTATGTTCTTTGCAGGTGGAGAAATATCGTTTTCGCGGCATGGGAAAGAAGAAAGCGGCCTGGCACTTGGTGAGAAAAGGCTTTCAGACTGCCGGTGAACCACTAACCTGCTGGTGACCAGGTTGGATTATCACTGTAATTACTACTAATTATCGATGATGATTGCACCAGGTTTTAGTCGCAACTTGCAAGCTTCTGAAATTGCTTCCTCAGCCGCATTTGATCAAACGACTCACAACGTGCTGTAACAGTGCCTTTTGGGTGAGTAGACTTAGACTTTTCCAATGGGGAATCAAGCCTGCTGCACCGCGGATGATGCCAAGGATCAGGCCTGCGCATTGTTGTTTAAGTTCATGTGACACGCGTCGTGAGAGATCAATTTCCATGCCACTCCTCATGTATACAATCATTTCTGAAAGCTTGCGCTGATTGGACGCTGTTACCTTTTTTTTTACAGAGGAGATCTTGAAAATCCCCATGCAAGACAAGGCCGGTGACGAAGCGTGGGTTTTCGTTTAGACAAGGGGAGCGAAAGCGGAAGCGCTTGGGGCTTTCGGGGGGGGGGGGGGGGGGGGGGGTTTTTTTTTGGGGGCGGGGGGGGGGAGGGGGGAGGGGGGGGGGGGGGGGGGGGGGGGGGGGTCCTCGTGGTCTTTTTTGAGGTGCCGGGTGCTGAAGATCTGAAGACGGAGCAAAAGTTGGAAGCGATTCGAGAGGAGGAGAAAGAAGAGAAGAAAGAAGAACCGAAGAGGCGGCGAAAACATGGGAGTTGTCCCTCCTTTTCTCCCTGCACCGAAACTGGACGGTTCTTTATCCCGGTGACTTTTACATTTTACATGCAAGCAGCTGAACATGATGTCAGTTTTGTCCAAGGGTTAGATCCCGCGCTCTTGTCCGCGAGTGACATCGATGGCCTCAGGGAGGGCTTCACGATTACCTTTCTGGACAAGTCGAACAAAGCTCCTTGGCAGATCCGACCGCCCTCGACCGTCCTCGAGCGGTTCTGCCCCCAGGAAGTGGAGGTGAACTTTACGCAGAAACCGCTGGGCTTCAAGTTTGCAGGGGGCCCGAAAAAGATCGAAAAAGAAGATGAAAAGAATCTTCAAGAAAAAGCTACTAGTAACAGGTGCCACGCTAGTAGTAACAGGTGCCTTACTAGTAGTAACAAGAAGCTACAAAAAGAAGATGAAAAGATGATCTCTCTCAGGTCTCAAGCCGAACTCCTATGTCTCCTGGCCAAGTCTTAAGACGATTTCTTCAATTGGACACCATTTGGAACCCAATTTCTTCGATTGTTCAGTAACAAGAGGACGGTAGTAGGGGCTCCTGGCATCGCTACTGGGAGCAAGGATACTAATAGGGGCTCCTGGCATCGCTACTAGGAGCAAGGATGCTACTAGGGGCTCCTGGCCGTACTACTAGGA